ATTAACTCTTAGCATCAAGATGGGTGAGTATTAACTGATAAGATTCCACCTTTTTAGTCTGGCAGTTTGTTTTGGGGTGTTTGTTTGTTTTGGGGAGATTGGTTTTTGTTTTTTGTTTTTGCTTTTAGTGATCATATTTGCCACAATTATCAAACACTATGTTTTTTAAAAAAACTGGGACTGAATCCATGTGATTTCTCTACTGTGCCTTAGAATGCAAGTTTGTCTGCAGAATTTTGACAGTTGTTATAAGTAGAGTGAATAAGTGCCCACAGATAGCCAAGTAGTTCTCCAGAATTGGCAAAGGAAAATAAATTTGTGTGGCCGCAGTCAATGGACTCTTCTGAGAATCTTGACATTGCTAACCTGTGAACAAAAATGAGCCAAAAATGGATTCTAAAACACTTGGTCTTCATAGAATTTTTTTCTCAGGACAAATTCATGGCTCTAATTTTGTCAGAAAAGAGAAAGAAATGATTCTAATTACCATCAGTATGTAAAATCATAAGATGGAAATTGTAATTGTATCAAATAGGTCTTTGGTAATTTAGAGTACTCTTTAGAGTGTTTCGGACTATAAAGCCCCTTTAAGTTAGATATCTGCCTTGTATAACATAGTCTACAGTTTTGCTGATGAAAAACTTTATAGTCCGAAACATGCAAAGTTTAATCTAAATTACCTTTTACACATATTAAACAATTGCGATTGCCATCTTAGAGTGTGAAATCCTAATTTTATCTTGTCATTTTATTTCCCAGCCTGACAATTATTTCAATGCAAACTGCTCCTTCTGGAACTACTCAGAGAGAACTATGATGGGATATTGGTCTACCCAGGGCTGCAAGCTGGTTGACACTAATAAAACTCGTACAACGTGTGCATGCAGCCACCTAACAAATTTTGCAATTCTCATGGCCCACAGGGAAATTGCAGTAAGTATTTGCACTTCTAATTAGTAGCAGAGAAAAACCTCAGAGATTCAAAACAGCTTGTGTAATAGTCCCTTTTTTGGGTGCTTATCGTAAGTAAAAAGCAAACAAAGTAATGTGGATTTCTAATTTTTTCTATACTGTCCATGTATTTTAGGAAGCCTTCCACTATATTTATTGTTACTTCTCAAAACCATGTGCTTTACAGACTTTATTCTAAGTTTTTCTCCTTGGACAGATGTTTGGCAGAGGTGGTCAGGGATTGAGAAGCTATAGGTCATACAAAAGAGGGCTCTAATGCTTAACCTGCCTTCCTTATCTTGAATGTTTGAATCTCATAAAAACCATTACTTTAAGGTTCCTAACCATTTTGCACACTACAAAACTACAGTTATTGAAAGGTCTGAATGATTTCTGGAATGTTTCTTAGTATTCCTTTTTGTGAGTAAGAGAATGAAAGCCAGAAGATAAAAATATTTTAAGGAATGTAGCATTGGTTTTTATATTATATTTATATACTGAGTCATGTCGTGTACTTGACTCAGTATATAAATATAATATAAAAACCAAAGGAGAAATTTAATACTTAAAATTTGACTTATGTGTTAGCCTGAGAAGTCATTAAAATGCCAGTTATTTTTAATAACTATCTTTTATTGTATTATATAGTTTCTCTGTTTATGTAGATAATTATTTCAGTCGTTACTTTGAAGTAATTGGGCTCTTGCACTGTTTGGATATAAAAGCTGATAAGATAATATTGAACTCTGTTATATGATCAAAATATCTTTTTAGTATTGAGCACTCTTTGAATACACATGAATTTTCTGAGAGTTTAGTATTGAAAGATGAGCTATTACATGTGAAAGTTGTCTTACCTTTAGGTGACGTAATACAAGAATACTAATGTTCCTCATATGTTTTTATTTTTAGTACAAAGATGGAGTTCATGAATTACTCCTTAAAGTCATCACCTGGGTGGGAATTGTCATCTCCCTTGTTTGTCTGGCTATCTGCATCTTCACCTTCTGCTTTTTCCGTGGTCTACAGAGTGACCGTAATACTATTCACAAGAACCTTTGTATCAACCTTTTCATTGCTGAATTTATTTTTCTAATAGGCATTGATAAGACAAAATACATGGTAAGTACTCCTTTTAGTTTATTGACCTTGGATTTCTGAAAATTATTATAACAAGTGTGAATCCACTCATATGCTGATAGTAATATTTTACTTTGTAATTTAATAGAATTGACATGGCAATTATTGAAGGATAATCTGTGATAAAAGCCCAGTCATTAAGAAAAGTTATTATGAGTTAATTCACTTTTTGTATTAAGGTACAGTTGTATTTTTCTGGGTTGTTAATTTGAATAGAAGAATGGTGAGGATACTGAAATGAAAAGATCCTATTACTACAATTTTCACTTTGCTCACATAGTCATTCTGACCAGTGATTATTTCTTCATATTTTGAGCATTTTATTCATCATGAGGTCTTAATGTTAGAAACAGAACTTAATCATTAGTTAATTGTTCACCCTATATTCATCTGCACCAGGGTTAATTTAAGAGTGCTCTACATATGACTGACGGGAAAATCATGTTATGTAATTAGAGCCTATGATATCTGTAATTAAAGCAAATTTCAAAAATTCTCTTACAGAAAAAAATAGAAATAAAATATCTGGAAACAACCATTCTAAAGACTTAACAGAACAGATCATCTACAAGTAGAATATTCAGATTTGATAATAGCTAATTCTAGAAGAGAAATTAAGATATGTTTTTTTATTTGCACAAAATTTCACTAAAAATAATAATGTCTTAGAGTGTTAAAATTTCTAGCATACCTGGCAATATACTCTATAAGCATTAAACTCTTCAAATTTGGTGGTGTTTACAATTTGTTTTCATCTAAACAAGCAGTACTTTAAATAATGATATATTTTAAAGACAATAGTGAGCACTATCAGCGACTGTTTTGCAGTTTTGGAGTGGACTGTTTTTATTCATGTGTTCTCTTTTTTTTGTTCTTTTCCTTTATAGATTGCATGCCCAATATTTGCAGGACTTTTACACTTTTTCTTTTTGGCTGCTTTTGCTTGGATGTGCTTAGAAGGTGTGCAGCTCTATCTAATGTTAGTTGAAGTTTTCGAAAGTGAATATTCAAGGAAGAAATATTACTATGTTGCTGGTTACTTGTTTCCTGCCACAGTGGTTGGAGTCTCAGCTGCTATTGACTATAAGAGCTATGGAACAGAAAAAGCGTAAGTAATTGCAAGCGACCTGAGTGTTTTTCAAGTGAATAATTTTTTAAAGCCTGTTAGCTGTCAGTGAGGTTCCCTGACAGACTAAAATAGCCTCTGAAAGCCTTATTGGTAAGAGAATGGGCATGCCGTGCACAAATTACAATCAAGTCTTTTGTAATTTTCTAGGTTCAGAGGATTTGTACTCTGGCGAGGCAGATTCTAAATTATGGACTTTCTTTTTAACACAAAAGATTGACCTGAAACAAATTGAAAAAGTAAATAACTTTTTGGCCTTAGAAAGATATTAAGTAAAAATTCTTCTGAACTTAAAGCATCTGACAGGTTTAACTACTCAGTTTTAAGCTAATGCTTCATTAGCTCTCTTTGTGCAGCCGACCCTCTAGCTAACTCTCATTCTGAGTTGTGACAGTAGCACATTCCTTCCCATATGTTTTACTTTGATAATATTTCATCAGGCAGTTTGAAAGGATTAAAATGAGTCACTGTCTTTTATTTATAAAAATATAGATATTTATGGAAAGTGACAGAAGGTAGACATAGCTATGTTTCTAAGGATTTTATTTGCTAGAGGCATGAATTTGCCTTCCAATTCTGTTTATTTTTTCCTTTGATAAAATTAGTTATATAAAGATTCTTTGGACTAAAGAAAGCTTTTTGACTGTACAGATGATGAAAGACAAATAAAAGAAATTCAGTGGGGATTCAGTGTTATATGAAAAATGAACCACTAAGTAAAATCTGTCTTAATAAGTTTATGCATCATTTACTCTAATACTGTATGAGTCTATGCTTTGATTTTTTTCTAGTATTCATCCATTCCCAGTTGAGGTATTAAATTTATGCTATACAGTTTTGCAACAAACATAACATGTAAACACATTTTTTTTGTCTTTTATGTTCCATAGGGTTAAACACTTTAGCTCACATATAGACCTGAAAGGCAAAAATTGAAGATAAGAACTTTAAAATGATGAGACAAATTTGGAACATTGAGTTTCAAATTTTTCTTAGTAAAGTCAGAGGTCTTAAGAATTAGGGATTAGGGTGTGTTGGGGTTTATTATTTTCCCCATACAAGCATAATTATGCCTTTATCGAACTTAAAACCTGAAATGAAAACCAGTAGGTTGAAGTAAATAAATTACTATTCTTTAAGTCAAAGCCAACTCAGAATTAATCAAATTATTCTTGCCTATAATAAATGAGTTTTCAAAGGCAAATGCGAAGGTAGTTTTGTTAGATTTTTTAAATTGTTTTCCTTTTGATGTTGAGGATCCATGAAGCTACTTAATACATATTCTTTTTTTTTCCCCCCCCCAAAATAGTTGCTGGCTTCATGTTGATAACTATTTTATATGGAGTTTCATTGGACCTGTTACCTTCATTATTCTGGTAAGCCACTTCTATTTTCCCCTTACTTTTAGCTTGCTGCTTTAGCAGTGCAATTGAAAAAGGGAAATTTGTTTTATTGTTAATTTATCAGTGAATTCAAAGATTATGAACACATCTAGCTTATAGTATAAAATTATGTAGTATATTTTAAATGTTGTACCATTATTGAGAGTTCATACAAGTGGTAATTAGTACTTTTTCTGAAATGCTCTCTCTAAAAAGTACTTCTTTTTTTTTTTAGTTTGATAAAATGTCATGTCATATTCTTAAAAAATAGACTCATGTATAAGCCATGTTAACATTACATGATTTGAGATTAGTTTGATAATTAGAAAGGAATAACTGAGGCGATAGCATATTTTGTTTTTAAGTAGTAGAGTTTTTTGCTAAGAGTTTTAATTCAGGAAGATATGTCTCTAAAATTTTTAATATCAGTCCTGTGCTAAGCCTGTGTAGCATTTATGAATTAAATGAATGTTGTGTGGAAGTGAAAGAACATTAGCTTAATATTTATTCTCTTAATTTCCACATAGTAATTTAGTAGTTTTAAATAAATGTCCACACCCTAAGTTCTTTTTAGAGCACAAAAAGATGTTTTCAGCTTAGATTACTGAATGTATAATAAATCAATTATTAACTCATTAGAAATAAAATTCCTTTTTTAAGACTTAAAATACCAAACAAAAATATTGGTTTTTAAGAAACTTTTATTTTAAAAATTTTTGATGTAATTTAAGTATGATGACATTAAGGTATATTTTAACTTCTATTGTTAGTTGAATATTTGAAATATAGTTAAAACAATGTAGCTAAAATAGATTTCAGTATTTAAAACTTTTCACTCAGTTTTAGCATTATGTTTTACAAATAGGTGTTATTGACCATTATAAGATTGAAAAGGAAACACAAGCAAGTTTAAATATTGCCTGTAGCTTTTTATTACTATTTAAGGTTTTTCTTCCCTTTAAAAAGTGACACAAATGAGGTTATTAGGATATTTCTGTAGTTTTCTAGTGTTTCATAAAATTGAGAAAAATTTTAGCAGTTCGAGGAAACTTAAAACTACTTCAAGCATATGTACTTTCATCATTAAAATGAATTTTTTTACACTTATACAAAGCAAAATGAAAATTGGAGATGAATGGCAATGAATCAAATTAGTAAAACATTCTTAAGTGTTCCTAGAAAGCTCATTTCTCATCAGAATTATTCAGTCCAGATAATTGTCCTAGTTTTTGTTCTTGGTTTACTTATGTTAACATGGGCTAAGCCTACCTCGAATTATAAGACAAAAAGCTGACATGAGGAGGCATGAGCCTTAAAGTCACCGGTTTCTTTCTCCCTCTCTGGCCAACCATATTAATATTTTGAAAATTGTAAAAACTATTTTAGGGGTAGTTGGTCTTAAAAGTATTATGTGTACTTCTGTTGTACTGCAGTTTTATTTTTTTCTATCTCTAAACATACATACTGACTTTAGAGTGTTGAAAAACAGTTCACTTGGCAAAAAGGAGTTAATATTCACATATACTCAGCTTCCAGTAAGAAAATAGGTAAAGGACATTTTATTACATCGCTCATTTACGGCGTCATTATTATCCTCTACCAAATCATTTAAGTTGAGATGTGAAGGGCTTCTGGGAACAGTGTTCCCAACTTAAAACAAAACAAAACAGCAGGTAGCAATCACAGTACAGGTCCTGGGAGTAATTCTTCTCTTGCAATTGCTTTGCCCTCTAATTGTCCCAGCACAGAGAGACAAAGAGTGGTATAGAGTGTGAAACATTATCTTGCATGTAACCTAAATTGAGATACGATATGATTGTACCGTACATGTTTGTTGAACATTAGTATATATACTGACATATATCCTTGTAGTGACATAGGACATTTAAAAGTCATTTTAGATTCAAATCTTAGTAATATAAATTATATAGTGTACTATACTTCTCAGGAGTATGCTCATAACAAGTTTTCCATTTCCAGCTTTCCTGAATTGAAACCATTTAACTTAGTAATATTAAATAAGTGTACATTTTATATAATGTTCTGTGAAGAAAAATAACATGCTATGGAAGATAAAACTTCCTACTTCTGTATTTCTATTGAATGTCTTGCCTACAGGCCACTAGAGTTATTATATCTATGAGAAAAGTGCTTGTAAGTAATGAGCAGTGGGAAACCATTAGTATGCCTGAAATGGTTTAATGAAAGCTTGGATCATGACACGTCAGGAGCTATTCTTATCATTTGGACAGCTCCATCTGCATCGTTAATAATTAATTCAGTTCAGTAAGAGTTCAGCTCACACACTCATTTAGAAGTCTTCTTCAGAGAACACCTCTCTGCCTGCTAGTCCCTGAGAGAAATAGGTTTCTGCTTGGCTAACAGCAAAGATCTGGAGATACAAGTGCAGTTTTAGAGTGGCATTTGCCAGGTAGCAAAAGCTCCAGGGAGGACAAAAAGGGTCAGAACATGTGCAGTTCAGTTAGGTTACTTCAGAGTGGTGTTTCTGTTCTTCTGTCTTATCATATCCATGTCAGCACTGCAAGCTGTGGAATGAATTTTAAGCTGCTAAGCTCAGGCGGATGTGATTCAATTGAGCCGGTTGATGGCTGTAACACAAACTGTGCATTCCATTAATCTGTGGAACCTCTTTCTGTTTTTAAACTTCTCTGTATTATCATGTCACCAGTATGGGTTATGATTTTAGCTATGCAATATCATTAAGTAGTGATGAATTTCATTAGGAAATTATACTGGAGGATTATTAAACAATAATTTATGAAATTGTTTTGAAATAGGTAAAAGAGTATAATTTGTCATTGGAAGAGAAAGAATCCCCCATTTGGCAATTTACTTTGTTTTAGCTAAATAGCAAAGTTTTTTTTTCTTCTGAATTTGCTGTCATTCCTTCACATAGAATTCTACTGAGATGTCTATATACCTATTTACTTGTGCACATGCGTGAGCACACATAGACAGAGAGAAAGAGCAGAGTTAAAATCTGATTAATTCCCAGATGAGTTGCCTCATCTCCAGAATTAATCACTAGTGTGGGCCTTTAGGCTGCTGAGCCTAAACGTGCAACACAATCGTATTAACCTGTCTTAGTGGGGGTTTTTATGTGAATGATGGACTAACCAGGTTTAGAAAACTCTTTGTGTACATAGCTGTAACTTCATCTTTTTCCTTTCTCATTGATGCATAACACCTTTCAACCTATCCCAAAATGCTATGTTTAAGCTCAAGTAGTATTTATGCTAGAAAGAAAACAAAGAATAAGAGAGTGAAAGTGGCTGCCCTGGAATTAAAAGGGGAAGAGCAACAGTTGGACAGAGATATTCTTTTCCCCTTATCTTTTTGCCTGCCTTATAATAAATAGGGAAAATTCCATGTTTGATGGTTGTGATTAATTTTTAAATGCATACCAAAGGCATGAACTAAATTAGGAAGAAATAAAAGAGAGAGAAAAGAAAATTTACTCTAACACCACCCCCCCGCCTCACCCACACCCCCCAAAAAAGGCACAGAGTGTATGTATGGCTGGAAAGAGCCATTTATGTCATGAGAAAAATCAAAGAAAGAACTTAGAATTATAGTAAGTGTTTCATTTGGAATTAACCTAGTTAGTCCTCGAGTGAGTATATTTGACAATAGACTTTACCAAAGATGTTTCTGTTTCCCTATTTGTTGTTCTGATTTCCAGTTATATTTTAAGAGAACAAGGAGCAGAAGAAAGGGGCGGGGGGGTGGAATCTGTTAAAGTATTTTACTCTAGAAAATCATGATTCTTATCAGAGTATATTATCTCCTGAAAAAAATTATAACATTTATTCTCTGAAAACAAATTAGCATTTATAATTTTTAAACATTCGGAAAAAACTCTAAAACCACATTAATAAAATTTTGTTTATACTTCCAGTAATATATGTTCTGTTTAAGTCCAGAAAATATTCCACTGTCATATATTGACAGTGGTAGCATATTAAAATGTTTAGTACCTAAATGATATAGATATATTTTTTCATTTCTATAATAAAAATAGTAAAAAAAAAAATGTATTAGTGACTTTTTTTAAATGTGGAATTGGGGGAAAATATCTTGGCCTTTTTTTTGCCATCTTATGATTTATAATGTCTTGCATGCCTTTTTTCATAATTACTTTGACTTGAAATGATGGCATTTTGTCCTAGTAAAGATATTATTGCTTCATTATTTGTCTATCTACAAGTCATATTTCAAAGGCTAAATTAGTGGTGGATTTAACTATAAATTTCTTGGGGTCTAAATATTCGTGCATTAACTATAATTTTTATTTTCATCTTTCCAATTTCCCAATTTAAATTTATTCTCCAATTTAAATTGGAGAATTCGTAGACAGTTGCGAAACCATCTGAGTCAATGTCCTGTGGATTTATGATTGTTTTTCTGGTATTTTTCGTTGGTTTTAAAGAGACTGACTTTTAAAATGTCTTTTAGAAACATTTCATATTAAGAATATTAGAAACAACAGCCTTTTATTTCGCACTCTGCTTTTATGGGTTTATGTGACATTTAGCTATGAGTATAACCCAGACAGGTTTGAAAAAACACAACAAACTGTTAAATATACAGTTTGACTAGTGGGGGTAGAAGTGTGTGGGTATTTTTGCCATTTACTGATCATGGGATGGTAGTGTTTTGCAAAGGAAGTGGAGGATTAGTTATTTTGGCAAATCCATCAGGTAGAAGTTTTTTGACGAGCACAGTTCATGTTACTCAAGATTTGTTTGAGGCTGTATTTTATACATTAATTTATTATTTATCTTCAAGTCATCATTTGAGTGATTTATAAGTTGGATTACCCTCTATAGAAGTGGAACCTTTTTAAAAATATAAAACTAGTATATTTTTGCTGTGTTAGAAGTCTCCTAATTTTTTCACCCAGAATAAATTGGTTAATTTTATTTGGGAAGACTGTGGTCTGTGGAGCCAGACCATAGTATATTGAATCTCAACACTGACATTATAGCAACAGAGTAATCTTTGGTAAGATACCTAGCATTGCAGATTTTTAAAATGGCTAAGAGATGCTTGCTACTCCCTCTGGAGATAAGCTTATGGAATTTCTCCTTCTGACCACCCCCCATCATAATTTTCTGTGTTTTCTGAACCTTGCGTATTGTGAATGTATTATGTTTGGAACCAGAAAAGAAACTAAACACATATATAATGTTAAAAATCTTTGTAGAGTAAGGAGAGAGGAAGGGAAGATGCGCCTAACAGTCTGTTTTTTATGGGTTAAATGAGATATGTTATCTGTGGCACATTCGACTTGCTTAGTCCTTAGTCTTAATAAGAAAGAAATGTCTTTGTATAGTATTTAGCTTTAATTCTGTTTTTGTATAGTAGATTTCAGTTTTATTTCAGTTTTATTGGAAAATGTTATTCTTAAATAACTGATTTTTACATGATTTTCTTAATTGGAAAGTATGTTTTCATGGGTCCATCCCCAAGATTTCTCATTTTTTCTCATTTTCTTTTCATAGCGTAATGCTTTATACATCCACATTTTTTCTCATTCACATTTTTGTTTTTGTAGTTTATACATTGTAGTAAGTAATAACTTTTTTCCTCCTGGAATTATCTCTGTCTCCTCCACCTCCTCCTTCTCCTTCTCCTCCTACTACTACTATTTTATTTCTTATAGGATAATTCATATCTCCTTTCAGTATAGAAAATAATGAACACCAAATTGTGGCCCTGCATGCTTCAGGAAATTGTTTAAGAATAGGCAGGGTGGGGGGACAACCCTGGTCTAGAAGTTTGGAATAAAAGAAATAAGTAGTTTCATTAGGACATTCAGAAAGAAGGATTGAGAGGTTTAAAGCATTTAATTCTAAATCTATAATGGAGCCTTTCTTACCTAAGAGTTGTAGTCATTTTGTCTGTTTATATGAGTTTAGGTTTATTTGTTTGTTTGTTCTTAGGATATTTAGAAATTTAGTTAAGGATTACTATTGCATAAAATAAAAACTGGTGCTTATGCTTTAAAAAAAATTTAGAGATATACTGCATCATAATTTTTTAAAAAGCAAATCAAATATTTACTGTCAGAAAGATCTCTCTGATTTCTCAAAGGCAGAAATTATCTCACTTACCCACAACGATACAGTAAGCACATTCTTGTGTGGAGCAGTGAAATCAGTAAAATGACTGTTGATTAAATGTATCACATAGTAATATCTCTGAAAGTGTAAGTATTTATTTATGTTGTGACCAACTAAAATAATCCTCCAAATGTAAAACTAGAAAAATGTTTCTACAAATGTATTTTTCTCTAGACAATTATTTTAAGAAATTAGTTTTAAGTGTTAAAGAATTTTTTTGTCCTCAAATAATTAACATAAAACACTGTCTGCCAACACTTGCAAATTATGCCCATTAACCTCATTTTATCCCTTAAGAAGAAATTCTACATGTAAGTGAAATAATAAGGCACAGTGGACAAAATGACTGATAAACAGCTTAGGTTAAAGTCTTCACTGTGTTTCTAAACTCATTAGGAAGGACTTGGAAATTTTATTTACTGCCCTGTATAATTTTATCTTATTACCAGAAGTGATGAATGAGTAAAATATGTTATCATTTTATCATATGGTATTATGACTTAGTAAATATGATCATGTTACTGAACAAAGTTATGTCGATTATCTGCCACCAAAAATTGTATTTGTCCCCACATACAGTGGGTCTTTTTCTGACTCTGCCGTTCAGGCTTGCACTCTCTTTAAGTCATGTAAAGCTCACAAAAGACAAAAATATTTTTGTCTTGCCTTTTCTTAAGGAATAATCTGGAGTAAATAAAAAGTCAGAAAAAATCCAGGACCAATCTTGGTTAGTTCTATTTTTACAGCATAAAAATGGAACTGCCTTCCCTCTGTCCAGCATTCCACCGGTTGGTCTAAAAGCAAATGCAGATTACCAACTGTTACCTCACGTCTCCTCAGTCAAAACACAACTCCATTCTTCTGACTTCACCTATGTTCATCTCCCAAACATTCATTTCATGTCAGGTTCCATCTTTCCCAGTTGGCTTTTCAATGTACCTAAATTTTTTGCATGGTGAATGTTTAGAAGGACTCAAAAACGGACTTCCTTCAGCATTTTCCTACTTCCGTACAATATAGTGACTAGGAAAAAGAACTGATGGCATATAATAGTTCAATAGCAAATATATGTGTGTATATCTATGTATATTAAGCTTATCTTACTTTATATAGCTAACTAATATTTTTCTTATATTTTATTTCATTTGATCTTCATAGTTACCTTACAAATGGGCAAATCTTATTCTCTTCATTTAATCAACCAAAATCAAAAGCTATACTCTCCACTAAGTCTTAGGATCCCAGATCCAGCAATCCTTCCATTATACGCTATGATTACGTGATATAAGTACCCCTTCTAAGGAATTCACTTTAGTGTTTCCATTAGATGGCTTTTAGGCCCTGGAGTACCTCTAGCTAAAGAAACCAATTTAGGTATCTAATTTACTTAATCATCACCACACGATACTGCTTTAATGAGATTGCAATTTCATGTCAAATGATCTATTAAAAAATCTATCATATAGCTAGAGTATTTTTTATTTAGACTTAACTCTGTCATTGCATATGTAAACTAAAATTGAATCATTCTCTACTGTATACTCATGTCATCGATATTTTAATTGCATTAACTCATTTAATAAATTTACAAAAATTTTTTTCCTTTGGTCGTGGTGGGCTAATTCTTTATTTATTTGTTATAACAGCTAAATGTTATTTTCCTGGTGATCACATTGTGCAAAATGGTGAAGCACTCAAACACTTTGAAACCAGATTCTAGCAGGTTGGAAAACATTAAGTAAGTATTTTGTATTTTAATTTTAGTGCTTGACAAACTAAGTAAAAGATATTCTTCACAGGGAATACATGAATATCTTCTATCAACTGTAGAAATTATTCAGAATAAACATTTACTGATTAAGGTTGAGTAGTCTCACTGTGACCATGTCACAGAAATTGGTCAAAAATTAGATAATTTTTGTCTTGACCTAGAGCCAAGAAATTGTTTCAGTGTCATTATGGAAATTCCATATTACTGTAGCAATTTTATTTAAATATAAAATGCATTTCAAAATGACATTCCTGTTTGCATGGCTGATATAACTATATTAAATTTGTTAAAATTTTTGATTTAGGATCCTGAGCAGTTTCTATTTCTAATCTTGCTTTTCTAAGAGAATACATTCTATTGCTTTTGTTAACTTGGAGATTGATTATCTGTTGTTTTCATGATAATTATATAAATGTTTATTTCTATGTTGAATAAAAACTGCAATATCCTAAGATTGGAAAAACGCTAGTAACAAAAAAATTGATAGCTGTCGATTCATTAAGTCATCTTACGGAAGCATTTTCAGAGTTTTTTTTAAAATATGAGTCTAAATTTAAAATTTGATGAGGTATTATTCAAGTTATAATGGAATTATGAAAAAATATTTTTAATGTAAAAATGGCAGATCGAGAGTAAGAGTAATTTTTTAAAATTAGATGTTTTAGATAGGTTAGTGCCAGCTTCATTGCATGTTGCATGGTAAGAGAGAGAGCTAATCTTTAGCATCTCTCTCTTTTCTTCCTTCTCCTCTTTCTGTCTTCTCACCTACACCAGTAATTACCGTGTTTGTGATGGCTACTATAATACGGACTTACCTGGGTAAGGTAGAACCCTACATTAACAAATTTATGGCATGATTTATATTTTTTACAAATCCGTCAATATCATGAATTGCCCTTAGTTTTTATAATTATTTTGGAATATCTAATTTGCTATCGTATTTTTAAACTATAATATGCCTTTATTTTTTAATTGCTTGCCTCTGCATTTTGACTTTCTTAATTTTGACTAATTTATAAAATATATAAATGCTTTCTTATTACTTTCTATTTTAATTCTGTCTAATAATTTTGTTTCTCTTTTCTGCTTATAATGCTTTCTAGCTATGAAGATAATAAGCCATTTATCAAGTAAGATCATTAGTTAGACATGGAATGCACTGACTTTAAATTCTTCTCATTCCGTCCTATTTTCTACAGTTCTTTTCTCCTTAAGCTATTCATGATGAAATCTCTCCAAAATTATTTTATTTTGAAGTTGTTCTCATGTTTTTGTCCCATTTCAGCTAGGTTTCTTCATGCTTTAGTTATAAAACCTTAGGTTCACCTCAGATTAGTTTATCAGAATCTGAAGTTTAGGTGCTGATTATCTGCCATTTAACCTTTCTGTATGTGTCACATTATTCAGTGTCGTGGGTACACCACAGGAGTAAAAATAAAGGAGTAAACTAATTAAGGACTCCTAATTTCTTTTACCAAAATGCACATAAAAAACAACAAAGTCATGGGGGATGTTTTACATTTTGTATTTTTAATATAGTATTGATACCTCGTTTATTCTGGAGTAAGAAAAGGTCATACCTGATGCTGCTGTTTTCACTGGAGGCTGCAGTACTAAATGCTGTTGTTCTTTCTTTAATCAATGAAAGGTTAAAGCCAAAATGCTGTTGAATTTGAATGTGAACATAGAGAAAGTCACCTGCTACTACTGATGTGTTAATATATAAGTGTGATATATGTTGTTCTCTGATTGAACCTGTTAATAAAATTAACTTTATTTTTTCAGGTCTTGGGTGCTTGGCGCTTTTGCTCTTCTATGTCTTCTTGGCCTAACCTGGTCATTTGGGTTGCTTTTTATTAATGAGGAGACTATTGTGATGGCATATCTCTTCACCATCTTTAATGCTTTCCAGGGACTGTTCATTTTCATCTTTCACTGTGCTCTCCAAAAGAAAGTAAGTGATAACAGCTAGGGGCTCTGCTTGCTGTTCTTTTATTGGAAATAATAAGTATAATAGAGAAGATTTTAAGTTACAACTGGTATAGTATTAACTAGCATCATATTTTTAATCATAAACTAATTGTAATGCACATCTGATAATTCAAGCGTCACATATAAAATATGTCAATACCAATCATTTTTGGAATGTTATAAACTAGATATTTATGTTAGTGGGGTCTTAAAAATGCTTTGTACAAAGAGTGTACAAGATAAAGAAAAGGATAAGTAGTGTTGTTCTTTGCTCAATAAAGAGAATTCAGTAATCCAAAATAAAATTGAATATAAGGATAAATGCCCTTAATTTAAAAGCACCAGACATACCAAAAAAATCAATATTAATGTTACCTTTTGAGTATTTTTAATAGATCTAAAATCTAATGATTTAATACCTCACATTTTATTATTTTGTCCTGATTTTATGTTAAGTGAAATAAGAAAACTAATTCAAAAAATAATGTTTGAAGATAAAAAACTTGTCTATTGCAAGAAAACATAAACCTAAGAGAGTAGCTTAGTACTATTAAAGTTTAAAATTTCCATGCCTTTCACTAGGCATCATCCTTTCCCTGTCTGCATATCTAATGTAGTCTTTTTTATTCTGTTATTACTAGTTGGTCATTTAAATTGGACAGAGAAATAGAATTGTGAAAGTGAAAACTATTATGTTTTCAGTCCTGACAAGATGATAGTGTTGTTACTTCCATCAGTTTTGAATAAGCTATAATTTTGAGATAATGACAGTGGAATGTGCAGTACTGACAGATAATGTACATTCACAGCAATATAGGCATTAGGCAAAACCAACACCGGAGGGTATTATTTGGATAAAATACCATTTGATTGCCATCGTCTTGGTTATACAGCATTTCAGAGCAGTTAATAGTCATTAAATGTGCAGAAATTTGTTGTATCATGTGTTATTTAATAACATTGAATTTTAACTTTCTAAACATTATACAGATATAACCTTAGTAATTACTTTGTTTTTATATATTTCTTTATCAATGAATATTTTGTATGCATGCATATGATCACATTCATAATTTCTGCCAAATTATTTTGAGATAAAGCATAAACTTTGCAGAAAAAGGATGAGGTCGCCATTATTTCCTCATAGTTATGTGTGTTAATCGAGCAAAGAGATTTTGCTACCTTTCTAAAACATTTTAAAAGCATCACGTTGCACTTCTTTTGAATATTTTCTACTTGGTCTTGGATACATCCTATTGGGTGCTGCCAGGGTGAATTGTTAAGAGTATGATATAAAATGATTTCATTAAAGTCATGGTTCTTACTATTCGAATGAGCATATTTAGGCAAAGAAAATGCTTTGAAAGTTCAACCCCTTTGGTATTTGTTCAAATAGGTGTAATTAAATAAAGCTGAGAGGATGAAAATGTAAATGTACTTAGATTTGAAAGGTCATCTAGTGACTTTAATTCTCTGATTTTGCAAGGAGTGTCAGTGATGGTCTTTGTTGGCAGATACTGAACATAGAACTGTGAGGAAAGAGAAATTGAGGTTTTTTTTCTGTAACCTACTGGAAAAGATAATTTCTTACACAGCATCTCCTTGTCTTTCTTGTAATTTCAAAGTCTGGCTCTAATCCACAACAAAACATGTTTATATGCCAATATAGCTACATAGTATCCTGAACTCTCCCCAACTCCTCCCAATTTTGTACCGCCTCTCCAGGTTCCCTTATTATTTGGCAAGTATTTGGACTTCCTTTTTAAAGTTGACTTTAAACTTTCTTTTAGGCCTAATAACTTTTTTATCTATTCACATATCCAAGCTTCAGGGAGAAAGGGAAATTACATGGGTAACTCATTAATGTGAATGGAAATTGCATAAATAGTTCCCTTGTGTGTTAATGAAGTGAATAGGCATCTCAGACTCTACACTAAATGTTAAAGCTAGACACATCAGAAAATGAAGAAAACATTTCATCCTAATTAATGGCATATTATCAAAGTACTTTTTTCCTTTATTCTTATGCCAAAGGAGTCTTGTCTTTATAAAGACATTGCTCGCAAAACTACACAGTCCAATAAAAGTTTATGTATTGACCTACCTAACAGGAGATGAAGCGTAGAAAACTTCAGTGAATGAATTACGAGTGATTAAATGTAATTAAACAAGGGAAATAGTATTTTTTGTCCTATTTTCTGAGCATGAAGTATAAAATTGGGGTTACTAAGTATATAGATAAAACGAGGCTTTAAAAATATTGTATGAATTAATAACATTTGCATAATAACAATGTTAGGCATTACCACATACTATATCAGATTTTAAAGATTTTACTAGCCATTCCAGTGGACAGTGATATTTTTTTTTTGGATTACTATTTCAGCAGTTTCAATTGAACTTGATTTTATAAGTTCAGTTTATTTTCTCCACAGAAAAAATATTAGTGGAACTTAATCTTGGTTGTCTCCACTGCTTATTCAATTAGAGGAAGAGAGAAGCAAGTATGTTTATATTAATCCCTCGGTCTCCTGATTATTCAATGCAGGTACGAAAAGAATATGGCAAGTGCTTCAGACACTCATATTGCTGCGGCAGCCTTCCAACTGAGAGCCCCCACAGTTCAGTGAAGGCATCAACTACCAGAACCAGTGCTCGGTATTCCTCTGGCACACAGGTAACAAAGAATTTGACAGCATCTTTAATTAACCTTCTTTATAGAAAGCCTACTGAGACAGGTTCTTTTCAGATGCACTAATTGTCTCCTCATTATCACAATCTAGGTAGCAAATACTTGCGTTTTCAGTATTGTGGTTTTAATTTCTTCTTATTTCTTCAAGCTGTTTCTTTAGGTGTGAACATCCTTTTTTGAGAGGTTTACTTCTTTAAGAAGCGTATCATAATTATTTGATATCGTAAGCTCATACAGCACAGTGCTCGTCATGCATGGGCACTCAGTAATCATTTGTTGAACAGTCAGTCATCTCCATGTTAAAAAAAAAAAGGCAATAAAAGAAAACTTTTTAAGAGTAGAAGATTAAAACCCATTAGAACAAATAGCAACAGAGCAGTATAGACTTCCTTACTTTTAAACCAGAATCGACACACATTTTCTTTTAAAAGACCAACAGATAATCCTGCGCAGATTGTTAGGGTGAATCTTTGTGTCTTTAATAAGATCAGCTTGGGGAAACTAACATAACATATGTCTTGCTATTTTATGTTGATAGAGTCGTATAAGAAGGATGTGGAATGACACTGTGAGAAAACAATCTGAATCTTCTTTTATCTCAGGTGACATCAATAGCACTTCAACACTTAATCAAGGTCAGTTACTAGGAAAATTTGAGTTTACAATATAAATTTTGTACCTTTTGCCAATTGATAGTAATTCTAGAGGAAATATGGGGAATTTTTCTCTCAAATGGGTTTATATCACAAACTCCTAAAGCTATTGTGCCAACTTTTGTCCTTTATTAAAGTACATATAAATTCTTTTTATTCAATAATGCAATGCCAAAAGTATATAATTTTAAACTCCACATTAACAGAGTAAGGCTAGAGAAAGTGATTACTGAAAATATACTTTGCCATGGATTAAAATGTTTTCCTAGTGAGTATAAATTTATCTTTCCAACTGAGACATTTATGAAGTTTTCTTCTTAAAGCATTAATGCAGTTAGAATAACTACTATTCACATTAAACAGTGCCAATATTCTAGTGAAAATTCATATTTGCAGTTTTTTTATTTTACATTTCTTTCAAAAAGTAAATAGTGTCAAAAACATTTATAGTAAATCTTTATAAACAGATAATTAAAATACATGAGAATTTAGAGTCATTTTTTCTCTTTGAATTACTATTTTCTATGTATCTACAATTACGACCTTAAATTTATCATACAATAAATAGTTCTTACTTAAAATAAGCTGGCAAATAAAACATTGTAGCCAGATAAGGACACAGTGCATGTACACACACGTATCCCTGGATGCAAGCTTGGTAAATTTTAATGTGGCATGAAAAAAATCATGCTATTGTATGTATCCTTGGAAAGGTAATTTATCCAGGTAATTTCAATTTTGATGTACTGATTGGTAATATAACATGTTATATTTTTATCACAGTGAAATAGGACATTTTTCATTGTTGACGTTCTGATGAGAGTTTGGTTTAAAATGAAGAAAATATGTATGACATCAAAACCAACTTGAATTTTAAAATATTTTTAGTCAAATTACATTAGCTGTGCAAAACATGTTTGATAAGAATTGAAAGGTTTGTAATTTATCAATTAGAATGATTGAAATGTGTGTTTATTCCATTGCTCTGATGTTTTACTTAATTTTGTTGAGAAGATGACTATCAAAAAGGAAATGAATTATTCAATGATTCATTTTTGAAACCTGGCAAATAAGATTACAATATGAAAATTCTTGTTATATAAAATTTGTGAATGGTCTAATAATTCATTATACACAGTCTCTTTTTCCCCCCTCAGCATGTGTGCTCTTGCATTTACTAAGAGAAGCTTTGTGCAATATGTCATACTTTTTATCTGTTTGAAGTTTTTTTCCTCCTGCTTGTATCAAAGTTGGTATTAACACAGATGTTTTCATGAGGGATAATCCCACACCTGTAAATTCTGAAAGTTCGAGATTCCCTCTTCTGGGCCTCAGTGGTTTGGTTTTTAATATTAAGCAGTAACATCTTGAAACATAATGTTGATCTCTGTGCATTTAATTGCCATTTTTGTTTAACAGTGATTTTGTATAAATTAGTAAATGTCATCCTCAGCAGGTGTTTACTTGGGGGACTTAGAAGGCACCTGTGAATTACTGGAATTTAACTTCCCTCTCCCCTTTCTCCTTCAAATCAGTAGTTCAAATACAGTCAGAAAATTTCAACAGATTTTCCGTTGCCAACTTGTCCTCTACCCTTGATGAATACAAAAAGTATTTTACTGCAACTGTAACACTAAAATAAGAGAACTGATGTATTTTTTTCTTTTCTGTTTCTTTTTCTTTTTTGTTTCTTTTTTGCTTTAGGAATGACTGGCAATTACCTACTAACAAACCCTCTTCTTCGACCCCACGGCACTAACAACCCCTATAACACATTGCTCGCTGAAACAGTTGTATGTAATGCCCCTTCAGCTCCTGTATTTAACTCACCAGGTGTGCTTATACTTACGAATAAAACTGCCTTTCTTTGCTGCTAAACAGAGCTCTGATCTTTGCCCTTTTTTCTAGAATACTCAAATTGCCTTATGTTTATTATTACATCCTTAATTTCTCAATTAAAAAAAATGGTATTGACCATGCCAGGCTTCTAAAACTGCACTATATTATAGTAAAAATTCAGTCATGATAGTATTTACCAATAATTATCCATGTTTTTGACACAGGTGGCATAAATCTTAATATATTATTACAGGACTGACATCACATGGTCCGAGAGCCCATCTTCAAGATTTATATCATTTAGAGGTATCCTATCTATGTGATATACTGTTCAGTTGACTCTAAAGCTTGCCGACTTAATTTGCTTTTGGAATGAATTAGCTAATAAAGATAATTTGGATGCCTAGGTATAGAAAACTACATCCAGTATTATCGATGTATCCAAACTATAGTATAGTGCAGCTTTATGGTAGTTTTCATTTTTCTTTTAAAAACTTTGAAAATAAAGTTAATATTATTAGTCAGTTTATACCTATAGTTTTGTTTTTTTTTAATTGGGGGAGGGGGTGAGATTGTCACTAACCCATCCTATATTACTATGTTTTCTAATAGCTTATATTTTTAAAGCATATGTATTTAATATTAACTGAATTTTCAAGATGTTGATAAAAGTTATTGCATAATTACTGCTAGCATATAATCTTTATTCGTGATTGATATTTGCCACTAAATTTAACACAGGACTTTGTTTCTGTTTTTTTTCCTTAAAATTATTTTTTTAACGTAACTGCAGCTTCTCTTTTCATTCTCTTGTTTTTCTTACTTTCCTTATGCTTTCCTCTAGCAACCTACAGAGAGACAAGTATGGGAGTAAAACTTAACTTTGCCTATCAAATGTAAATTTTTTCAGCATGATTTTTAACCGGCACAATTAAAACATAACTAGCAGTCATGAAGTAGACTCAGCGGGCAAGTGGTTCACAATTTGCAACTAAAATATTACCAAATTCAAACAGTACATCTATCTGTACTGCCTTTTGTCAGTAATAGAGGTCTGTAGCAAATACTGTCCATACTTAAGTATACGCAATGCTGAAATAATTTGCTCTTTAAAGCCTGAGGTACTGTCAACCAGAATGCTTAATAATTGACTTATTTCTGCATTCCCACAGTAATCTTGCTACAGGCTGTGGAAAGTCTTCAAGCGAATTACCTGAACTTGGGCAGAAAAAAAGTTGCCTCTTCAAAACCATTCAAAGATGTACTTAAATCTGCAGTATATCATAGAAAACACCTTTTGGATTATCCAGTATATATTTTTATATTTATTAAGCAATGATGAAAAGAAAAAAAATTGACATGATAGAACCTCTACAGAGGAAACATGTTAGCAAGTGATCCATGTATCACCTATAATTTAAAACACCAAATGTTTTCTAGTGGTGAATCTTATAAAGATTGTGATGGTGCATATATGAATTTATAAAGCTTGAGAATTGTGTCAACCAAGCTAAAGGAAGCCTTACAAATAACTATCATAACTTCATTTTGTTATACATGGAGCATGATACAAATCGAACTGTCAGTTTTTCAAATGTAGAAGTTGGATCAGAGTTTTTAAAATAACCTGAGTCACCAACAAATATATCCCCCTCCATTTTCTCATTTTCTGCTAGTAATAATTTATCAAAGTTATCAGATATTTATTGGTCATGAAATTGAGTTTTCTAGGATAATCTGCAGGTTTAAGAGTGGAGTCAGCACTGAAAAGGGAAATTTCCTATTTTTTCCAAGAATTAAATTTTTTTTCCTAAACTCCTCCAAGCCTTGCATACAATGCAGCAGCCTCACAGTGGTCAGTTTCATTTCAATAACATCATTTCATTCTTTTTTTTTTCAGACCTATCTGTAGATAAGTGATTTTTTTTCTCTAGGATTTTGAGAATAAATAACCTAACTTTCCATGGTGCAGACCATTTAATTTTCTCTAATTTTTTTTCCATTTGCCTGAAAAGCTCTGTGATGTCTTAGTTTACATGTTTATGTGTCTGTAGAAAATACAACTCTGATTCAAAGAGAGCATGTTACCATATTTTTTTTCCTCCTAAACCTCCTTTCATACCTTCAGCAGACTTATCCAATCTTTCATTCCTTTAGATATAAAAATAAATTAGTCAAGGCTGACACCCTTTTCCCATTCCATAGTTAATATTTATTCTTGGTTTAATTTATGTGACCCATACTTAAGAAATCTCTAACATTTCTGCGTTTAACCTCCATGCCCATGGTGTCTGTGGGCCAGTCTCATACAGTAGACTGCTGGTTCATTCGGTGCTGTCACTGTGACTGATGCAGACTGCAGGGCTGCAGGCAAACACTTTGACCATTAGGAGCCTGGGGCCATTGCTATTAGAGAGAGTGTTAGTACCAAAATCATAATAAAATAATAATAATAATAATAATATCAACATAATAAGAAATATTAAATGAAAAAGTAAAAGGCTGCTATTACTGGTATCTAATTTGTTGAACCCTTGCTCTGACTAAGTTGCTGAGAAACTTAGAAATTCTTCATCATGTTACAATAAATCATTTTACTTTCTTTTATATATCAGCTACTCTTAGGCCAGATAGCCTGAGCAGACAGACATGATGTGAGTTGTCCAAAGTGAGTCATTCCACCTGCTGTCTGTCGTGTTGTTGGATGGTGCTTGTGGGCCCTTGGTCCAGTCAGTATGAGAGATGGCTGTCTTTGTTGAACATAAATTCTTTGTATCTGTCCATTTTTTCATTCTTTTTTTTCCCCCTTCATCTCCAGAAAAAGGAAATGTTAGAATGTTGTTTAAAAAGTTGCTTGCCAGTTATGTGGGTTTATGTTATACATTTGCCTTCGGTTTTTGTATGTGACTTATTCCTTTTTAATTTAGTGTTGTTTAGGACAAATTCTGTTAATTTCATCTTAATAAACCATAGTTTTGTACTTTAAAATGTAAATGTCAATAATGAATTGCTTTGCATTAACTATGCAAGGGCATGGAGTGAAGTCTTTTTTTGTAAGAGAGTCAAGAGATTTGACCAAAAATCAATTAACTACTGTCTCCCCGAAATTGATCAAGTAATATTCTGTATGCCATCTTCCCTCCCTGCAAAACAGTATTATTCTTTCTCACTTTTTCCTATTACCTAAGGGGTTGCACTGTTTACAGTTGGGAATGCGGGAAAGCCTGACACTTTTCGAGTGTTAGCTTTCAAATACAACTTTGTCCTGAACGACATTAAAAAGTTTTGTACAAAAGAAGTAAAGATTTTTGAGGAAGGAGCAGAGGCAATAACGGACCCCCCCCCCCACCTCCCGTTTTCTGTTTCAGGACATTCACTGAACAATGCCAGGGATACAAGTGCCATGGATACTCTACCGCTAAATGGTAATTTTAACAACAGCTACTCACTGCGCAAAGGGGACTATAATGACAGCGTGCAGGTCGTGGACTGTGGACTAAGTCTGAATGATACTGCTTTTGAGAAAATGATCATTTCAGAATTAGTGCACAACAACCTACGGGGCAGCAGCAAGACTCACAACCTCGAGCTCACACTACCGGTCAAACCCACCATTGGAGGTAGCAGCAGCGAAGATGATGCTATCGTGGCAGACGCTTCATCTTTAATGCACGGTGACAACCCAGGGCTGGAGCTCCACCACAGAGAACTCGAGGCACCACTCATTCCTCAGCGGACTCACTCCCTTCTGTACCAACCCCAGAAGAAAGTGAAGCCCGAGGGGACTGACAGCTATGTCTCCCAGCTGACAGCTGAGGCTGAGGACCATCTACAGTCCCCCAACAGAGACTCTCTTTATACAAGCATGCCCAATCTTAGAGACTCTCCCTATCAGGAGAGCAGTCCCGACATAGAAGAAGACCTGTCTCCCTCCAGGAGGAGTGAGAACGAGGACATGTACTATAAGAGCATGCCAAACCTTGGAGCTAGCCATCAGCTTCAGACGTGCTACCAGATTAGCAGGGGGAATAGTGATGGTTACATAATCCCCATTAACAAAGAAGGGTGTATTCCCGAAGGAGATGTTAGAGAAGGACAGATGCAGCTGGTGACAAGTCTTTAATAGTGCAGCTAAGGAATTCCAAGGGCCACATGCAAGCATTAGTAAATAAAGACTCCATTGGCCCGATGCAGCCCCCTCCAGCTCTGCTCGAAGAGACGGCTCTGTTGACCTGTGGTTCCTCCCGTGTGAACGAGATGACTGAACCTTTGCAGTTCTGTGAATTTTTATAAAACATACAAAAACTTTGTATATACACAGAGTATACTAAAATGAATTATTTGTTACAAAGAAAAGAGATGCCAACCAGGTATTTTAAGATTCTGCTGCTGTTTAGAGAAATTGTGAAACAAGCAAACAAAACTTTCCAGCCATTTTACTGCAGCAGTTTGCGAACTAAATTTGTAAATATGGCTGCACCATTTTTGTAGGCCTGCATTGTATTATATACAAGACGTAGGCTTTAAAATCCTGTGGGACAAATTTACTGTACCTTACTGTTCCTGACAAGACTTGGAAAAGCAGGAGAGATATTCTGCATCAGTTTGCAGTTCACTGCAAATCTTTTACATTAAGGCAAAGATTGAAAACATGTTTAACCACTAGCAATCAAGCCACAGGCCTTATTTCATATGTTTCCTCAACTGTACAATGAACTATTCTCATGAAAAATGGCTAAAGAAATTATATTTTGTTCTATTGCTAGGGTAAAATAAATACATTTGTGTCCAACTAAAATATAATTGTCATTAAAATAATTTTAAAGAGTTTGACGAAAATATTGTGAAAAGCTCTTGGTTGCACATATGTTATGAAATGTTTTTTCTTATACTTTGTCATTGGTAAGTTCTACCCATTTTTCACTTATTTTCCACTGTATACAGTGTTCTGCTTTGACAAGTTAGGTTTATTCTTACATTTAAATTTCTTATTGCCAAAAGAACGTGTGTTTTATGGGGAGAAAATTCTTTGAAGCCAGTTATGCCATGCCTTGCACAAATGTGGTGAAATCTAGAAAAGATTGTGTCATCCCTCTATTTATTCTTGAACAGAGGGCAGAGAGGGCACTGGGCACTTCTCACAAATTTTTAGTGAATAAAAGGTGCCTGTTTTTTTAAAAAACAAAATAAAACATAAATATTACTCTTCCATATTCCTTCTGCCTATATTTAGTAATTAATTTATTTTATGATAAAGTTCTAATGAAATGTAAATTGTTTCAGCAAAATTCTGCTTTCCTTTTCATCCCTTTGTGTAAACCTGTTAATAATGAGCCCATCACTAATATCCAGTGTAAAGTTTAACACGGTTTGACAGTAAATAAATGTGAATTTTTTCAAGTAGCTAACGTGCACTTTTATGTATGATACATAATTGGCTTTAACACACTGGTCCTTCCCCACTCCTTCCCATTGGATATATTTAGTTCTCTTCATAATATAACCCATGGATCTGTGAAATAATACAGTGAAGTTCCCTGATGGTTGTATATGCTGAAAAGAATATAATATATTTGTATTCTAATTAGCCATTACCCATGCTCAAAATCTGGCAGATAAGTTTCAATGGGGAAATATACTAAAAGTATTTTGTTTGTTGGATTGCACCAGAACTTGAAAAATAAAAATGAAAAAAAGAAGGGTTGGAAATTCTACAATCAAATTGACATCATAAAAAAAATTGATTTTTTTCCCCAGCAGTATTGAGAAATTCCTAAAATATACTTTTACGGTTTGAGGATTATAAGTATCCCTATAGGCAGCTGCGAATGACAATATTTGTTATCATGGGAAGGTTCCAAAATCATATAATTGAATCTCAACAAATAGAATTTTCCTGTCTACATCATAAGCATTTATATCAAATTCTTCTAAAGCTTAGTGGCTCTATCAAGTGCTTCCACCAAGTTTGAAATCACTTTATTTTGTGTGGACACACTTAGTCATGCCTATTGAATTTAAAAAGAGTAATGAGAAATTTTTTCAAGTATATATTTATATATCTAAATGTGGATATAGTAAGGTAGACGCTATATAATACAATACCAATATTTAATACAGCGACAATGGAGTTTATTCACATGTAGTTAATACATAAGAAGTTGGAGTTCGACTATTAGAAATTATTAATATTTAAAGATTTAATATTCTGGGAAGGGTATTCATATTTCTTTGGCTAAAATTCTTTATGAATTTATAAAATTTATTGCTAGAAGGTATTATATAATCAAACATTGATTTCCTATTTCATTTTTTTTCTCTATGAAAGCCTGAAAGTATACAGCGTTATGTGATATGCACATCTCAGTATCCAAGCTAAGTAGGCTCAAGCTGGTTCAGTAATAAATTACTGAAAAAAAAAAAAAGAGGCAACATCAATTATTCAATTAGTGCTATTTCTTTCTTTTGAGGCGGTTCTTAAAACCGGTATGATGTGAACAAGCACATAGTACCTAAGTGGTTAATGTTCTCTTTGGAAAAAATAATTTGTTATGAGTCTTTATATTAGAGAATACAGTTTGGAAGCTACCACTTATCTTTGCCACCAAAAGAAGAATCGTTTTCAAAGCGAATTTCTTTTTAAAAATATATAAATGTTGCCTTAAATTCCATCCAGGCTTCCTACTAATACAAGTTAACTTCTTAGATTTAAAATGAATAATCTACTGACTGATACATCACTCTACTTGTTAGTCCAGTAGTTTCTTAGAGCCGACTTCACCTTGATATACAATTTCCACATCCTTGATTGTTTCTCTTTGTGATAGTCACAACTGTGAACTTTTATAAAGTCACATTATTGAATCTCTTCCCAGGGACAGTTACTCCACTTGTCCATTAATAATAAGGAATGCTTGTTTCCATTTGTTTTAATGGAGTTCGATACAGGTTAGTCCAGATAGACCTATTTTATTTTAAAATATAAGCTTGTGTTTTATTTACAAAAAAATATGTATAGCATATACATCTGTATATATTCATCTTACAGGCTTTAAAAATAATTTATGTGGAAGAGAATTCATGCAGTTTTTTAAGTTACTTAATTGTTCTCAAATCCAACTCATTTATTTGAGGGTGGTAACATATAATATTTTAACCAGTATAATTGATTTCAAAGTAAAGGGACAATTATTTGACAAAATTGTCACTATCCTCACCCCAAAGTAGAAAGAAGCATCATGCACAAATTCATTGCCAAACTTCAAAAGAAAAGTTCATGTACACTTGTTATAGGAGTGTTTTCAGGATGCCTGTTTTATGTATTTAAGTGAAAAAAAGAAAATGTACTTTTCCATCAATTCAACTTTGAATCTCAGGCTTCAAACTTGACCTTTATGATGCTCTCATGGGATAGAGTGTTTTGTAAAAAAAAAATTTGACTCAGTAAAATTTTTATTAGGATTATAACCTAAGTAGGAAAACTTGAAAGAATGCATACAAGTTGAACTTTTGTAATGGAAACAGCTCTTCGTATTTTGTTGATACTGAAATTTTCTTTAAAAAACAGTAGTTACTGGAGTGTTTTACAAATAAAACTACTTGTGTTCCAGATATTTCTCTTTCCATGAAATTGTTGCATCAAATCTCAAACATGAGTACGAAAAGTTACTGGCATGTTCAATATAGATGAGGATTTCTTCACAGGGTAATAAAATTAGTATGCTTTTGGTGAAAAGGCACATGCTTCCTGCTAGTGAACTTCAAGTTGATTTTGAGTTGTCCTGAAATCAGCAGCTGGAAGCAGTGTTAAGGCTGTGTGAATAGTAGTGAGTTTGGAGATTAACTCATGACAGTCTTAATTATCATTTGACTAGTATGGAATGAGAATTTTCTGTTATGTCACTTTGAGTCCCCAAATGATTATAGAAATACATTATATTAGGTAAATGGACCAAACAAAAAAAACTTGAACGTTTAAGGATATCACATTTTCAACCAACATGCACTTTGTGTGTATTACTGATGCTTTGTTCCAAAACATGGGACTGATGGAAACTCCTGGACATTATCCAAGTTCAATTCAAGGCACTATGGCTACTAAGCTTTCAAGGCCAAGGTAACATATCTGTGTTAGAGGGCATTAATAATAAGCTGTAAGTGTGCCATGTAATTAGGCTAAGTAAATGTATTATTAGCATTTTCCAAATTATTGGCAACAGACCACCTCCTATCTCTTAATAAGGCTTCTGTGGAGTCTTCATCCTTTTGCTGATGGCGTTAACTGTTTACTGAGTGTGTAGTTTCTCAGAAGTCTTTGGGTGTCAGTTTGATTTTTAAAGCTTATCGTTAAGTAGTAAAGTTTTCTTGAATGAAGGCATTGTGAAATTCTATTAAGTATACTAGCTTTCAACATTATAAATCACTGTTTGAAATAAGAAACAAACAAACAGAAAACAATGGTTAACCCAATATAATTGAACTCACCAAACTTTTACCAGCTATGGAAAAAAACACTGTCCCATGAATCTTTCACACATTTCTCTATTATATGCTTATGAAGCTGTAAAACTCAAATCTCCTAGAAATGTTTAAAAGGTCTAGTTAATCTTAAGCAAACCAGTGTTGTCTGAGCATAAGAGACTACTGATGAATTATTAAATTTTGAATAGTTTTCTGACTTTACATAAGCATTTTTAAATCATGTCAGAACTAAGCTTTTTAAAAAGCATTTTGGCAGTCACGGCAACATGGTTTTCTTGTTTGGTTTTATTAGGCAAAAAATGACTGATCTTTTGATACTCTTAGAAAGGCTGACAGCTACTATATAGAACACCCAGGAGCAATAATGATAGGTATCAGAGATATTGATTAGATGAAAGAATCATTAAATGTTCTTCTGCTGAAATATCAATCTTAATAAAGAGATGGCTTTTAAACCAAAACATAGCACTGGCACACAGTAAATTCTTTTAACACTATTATAAAAGAGCTACAAAACAAGATTTGCTGTCTTAATTTTTAAAAAATATCTCAGACTAAATGGTTTTATTCCGTTTACTAATTTTACATATTGCAACAGGAATAAAAGTACCAGCACCTACCATTTAAAAAGTGCTTTAATCCTCTTAACAATCCTCTGAGAAGGGTACTCATAATATACTTTTGGGAAAGAAGAAAAGTAATTTGTTCAAGGTCTCACAGCTGGTGAGTGGCCGAGCCTACACTCACATGATGTTCGTTTTGCTCCAGAGTTTATGTATTTAACCAACATGTGTCACCTCTGGTTTTCTTGGAGTTCTAAGAATATTGTTTACACTTCATGGACTCTTTTCTCTGCTGGTAGTCAAGAGAGGGTTGGTTGATTTGAGTCTGTAGAGCTGTAAAGGAAAATGAAGTAAAGAAGTCAGTTATTAAACGTCAGAGCATTTCAAAAGAAGATACCCCTGTTACAAGATAATCTATTTACCTCAAATCTTAGCAGAAGTGGGCCCATTAGCTGGGTGGTAGTGGAATGTAAAGTTTATTGGTTACTGATCCGCCCCCTTTAGAAAAACAAACAAAAGGTCATCTCAAGGGAGTTGTACTAGGGAAGAAAAAAAATCAAAGATTTTGATTCAGGATGTCGAATTTCTAGTCCTCACTTGACCAATAAAAGTCAGTGATCAACAGCCATAGAAAATGAGAATCAATTTATTCAAGTATATTCTTTTTATTTTTCTTCACAACCATGCCATAACAACAATGAAAAAGTCATATGAAAAATCAAAATATTTGAGCTTATTTTTAAAGTTAGTATTGATTGAAATTTAAATATGTGTGTATTTCAAAATTTAGAGCTTTTCAAGTTCATAATCTGGTTTTGTCTTTAACATTTGTCTAGAGACCTTTTCTCTGAAAAAAACAAAGAGTTTGAACTAAAATAGTATTGTATTTTGTTCTTTCCAAAAATTGTCCTGCAGAGCCCTGGAGTTAAAGGGCAACTCAGAAAGGCAAGGTGGTTAAGGGTTCCCTGTGAGTTAAGTTGTTGGAAGTGTGGTCCACAAAAGCAAGCATTCTCAAAATTGTAGGGAACCCGAGTACTGAGGTACTTCAGTTTAACTCACTACAAAGTGATAGGTGGGAATTGCAACTTAGCTTCATGCTGGAGCCTAAGGACATGAGTACTGTTTAATTCCGCCTTTGGGGACAGTCTGGTGACATAGAGTCTCCAAGGACCCCCCCACCCCCACCCCGCCCCGCAGGAGCTCAACAGCAGTCAATTAGCTCCAGAAAGCCACACACACTGATACTCTAGGGAACCGCGCCTTATGTAGCTGGCCCTGGGTAACAGAGGGAAAGGAAGAAAGAGTACATAAGGATGAGTCTGAGTGAGGTGGCTGCCATCCAAGATGGACAGTCTCTTC